TTCTCCAATTAGCAACATGTTCCATGTTGGTAAACGTTATTGGAGTTTTAGCCACCATCCTCATCACCGACGTGGAGCACATTGCTAAACTTCAAATTGTCACCTCCCGCGCACCAATTTCTTAATTGCCACCTCCCGCGCACCCATTTCTTGATTAATATATATACTTCAAAAAAAGTTATTTTATTAAATTAATTTCTTAATAGATTTTTATTACTTTATTGTATATTAATTTCTTAACAATTAACATATTAGTTAATATAATTATATTAGTCGATTTTTATTTATAGTTTTAAAAAATAATGTACACATATATTTGAATTTAATTATTGTGGATAATTAACAATAATTTAATAAAAAAACAAATATTGAACTTATTGTAATTTGAATGATAATAAAATCAATTAAATAAATTTTAATATAATTAAATGTGACAATTAAAATTCATAATATGGAGGGAAAACATGAAAGAAAACCCTAAACTTGGTTGAAGAGACAAATATAAGATTATATATTTGGTTTCTTCAAACAAAAAAATTAAAACAGAAGTTAAATATCTTTTTTGAACACTTTAGGAAAAAATTCATTTTCAGTTTTTGTATTGAAAATTTTTTTTTCTTAAAATTTAAAATTTAACTTTTTTTTATCCATCAATTAAATTTTAATTAATATAAAACATTAACTAAAAAAATTTATTTATTTTACTTAAATTACGTTGAATAAATTCATTTGGTAATAATTAGTAACATGACAAAATTTTGTTTGTATAATATAACTTTAAAAATTATTTAATTACATAATTATTATCATAATTATTTTAAAATTGTTTTTTGAGTAAGAGTACTTTTTTTTGATTACTTATTTGCCTTTATCTTCTTCCCCCTTCTATCTTATCCTCCCCTTCCTCCGGCCACGACAACATGAAATTAATCGCCAACCAAAACAACAGGAGATCAACATGGACAATTACTAAATTAAGCAATGCAAAATCTTCTTCTAAATATCTCACCTGCAAAATCTTCTTTTGAATATCTCACCTGTTCTTCATGAGATTAGTAACGAGTAAAGCAGAGATTCAACTCCTTCCAGTATAATAATTTGAGTCTTAAAATTTCAAAGAAAAGTTATATTAGACAAAAGATTGGAACATTTAAGATTTGGATTTCTATGTTGAACAAATTGAAACATCAAATTGAGTAGTTCATAGCGAGATTACTAACTCGTAAAGAAGAGATTCAAGTCCAAGTATAACAAATTAACATTTTGCTTATTTTCAAAGAAAAGTTGAATTAGATTCAAGATTAGAACACTTCCATTGCAGATTCAAAACTGAGAACACCCAAACCAGACATCAAATTAAGAACAACCAAGGCTGGAAAATTAATTCTTCCAGATTTTAACTAACTCAATTGAAAAAATTGTACATGGAACCCAGATCTGCGTTCCAGGGGGCATCCAGTTTCTGGGTTCCCCGTGGAACCCAGCTCGGTTCCTCGTGCAACCCAGAAACTGGGTTCCATGGGGAATCCAGTTTCTGGGTTCCCAGAGGAACCTAGGAAAGTTTAATTTGAAGAGGGATGATGAAGATGATGGTGAGTAGGATGCCAAGGATGAGGAGGAGGAAGAGGCTGATAAGAATGAGAAGAAGGAACGAATAAGATGAGTGATTAAAATTAATTTCATTTAAATTCATTTAATTTATGAATTAAAAAATAAAATTTTTAATTTGTCATACGTCACCATTAATATTCCACTATTATCTTTTTTTATAGCAATTATCTATCAGCAAGCTGAGTCTTGTCGGTGAAAAAGATTTTCACCGACAAGGCTCATCTCGCTGATGTTCAATTCCCTCAAAAAAAAAATTTAATTTTCAGTTAGGTTAAATATTTAATTTGGTCCCTGAATTTTCAGTTTTAGACTAAGTTCATTCTTAAACTTATTAAATTATCAAATTTGTCCTTAAACTTTTTTTTTCATTACCAACTTGTTAATTTTCCTTAAAATTTAAATTTAATTAACATTGTAAAATGATAATTATTTAATTATATATGTTATAACTAATTGTTATTATTCAATTATTTAATTATTTACCTAGATGACCAAGTTTAAAATTAACTTCTTCAAATTTTCAAATTTTCAAATTTTCAATTTTACATGTGAAAATGTAGATTATACATAGAGGTTGCCAAATCATCCATATGGCACTGGTTCTTTTACATGTAATTCTTTGAATTTCAAAAATATAAATTCATGGCATGTTAACATGCTAGTTGGGTACTTCTGTTGATGGAAGGACCAAGTTAGCAGTGAAAAAATAAAGTCTAAGGATAAATTTGATAATTTTATATTTGATAATAAGGATAAATTTGATAATTTTATATTTGGAATTATCACCGACATGGATTATGTTGGTAAATCTCACTCTAATTACCATATTACCCATATTGCTAATTATTAGTTAGGAATAGGGTGGATGTCGGTCTATCTGAAAATTTTAGCAACATGGTTTTTGTTGCTGAAATTCACTTTTAGCAACAAGAACCATGTTGCTGAAAAATGAAGATCACTGTTAAGTATTAGCAACATAGGTGTTGTCGGTGAAAATCCACCCATAAATTGTCGGTGAAAATCCACCCATAAATTGTCGGTCAATTAGCGGGGGCATGGGCAATCGGAAAATTTTAGCAACATGGTGCTTGTTGCTGAAATTCACTTTCAGTAACAAAAACCATGTTGCTGAAAGTGAAGAACACTTTTTGGGGGAGTGAGTACTATTTAAGTATGAGCAACATGGGCTTCATCGGTGAAAATTTGTATTACCGACGTGCAATTCCATGTTGCTAATACTTAGTTGTTGAAAAAGAAGATTTTAGTAGTGGAAAAACTTAACATTATAACTTTTAATGATAACATAAATAAGTGTTATTGGATGTCTTGAATTGAAAAATATTTCAATGATTTTTCATTGTTTTTATAAGGTGCTAAAATAATAAGAGAGAATCTCCCATTATATATAAGCATAGATTAAAAAATAAAAATAAAAAATAAAAAATAAAAAAGAAGCGGTTTACGTGACCGTGTTAAGGTTAACGTATTGGAATTGAACTCCCTGTTTGGCCTCACCCTATTTAATGAGAAAACCAGAAGTCGACAGTCGACAGGTCGGTGTTGTCCTGATGACTTCGCTCTAAACTTTCTGCCACTTGCTTCAATCATTACTTCAATAAAGGATTTCTTCGTTACATATGGAGGACCACGCTAGAGGTCCCACCCCTGCCATAGGGATGGTCAAATTTGCAAGATGCATTGTAACCTTTGAATAATGTCATTAATTTTGGAGTGGTGGAAGTTTTAATGGGTACCACAAATTACTCACTCCGCTTCATTTTATTCGTCGTTTAAGAGTGTTTTATAAGAACAAAGTACAAAATTTAGTAGATATAAATTGTAAATAAAATAAAAAATAATGCACTTTGACCTTCGAGCATCGAGTGTAGTGGCGTCAGGTTACGTATAAATACATTTTCTCACTTCAGGACAATGGTTCGAATTCGGTTCTTTGTGAATTTATTTAAATAATAATAATAATAAATAATAATTTATCAAAAAAAAGTATAATATAATTTAAATTATATTGAATTATATTATATTAATTATTAAATGAGAGTTAAACTCTCTTGATATAGAAAGTTTTTTTTTATTTAATAATTTTTTACAATCCACACTGTAAAATAAATTTTCATAATTTAAAATTTTATATTTATTTTTAATTAATCACTATTTAAATAAGAGTTCTTATTTAATATTCACTCTATCTTAAAATAATTGTCATTTTTTATTTTTTTTCTCAAATTAAAGATTTAAGGACAATATTTGCATTTATTTATAATATCTTTTAAAAAATAAATAAAAGACAAAGAAGTTTTTGTGATTGGATGATTAATTAAATGAATGGATAATGATATAGTTAAAGTAAAAAAATATTTGTTTATTTTAAAAAATAAAAAAACACAATTAATATGTGACAAATTTGAAATAAAAAATAATTATTATTTTAGGCTAGAAGGAGTATATGTTATAATTAATTTTTTTAAATAAGAATAAATACATTAAATGATATCTTATAAAGGAAAAGTAAACAACTCAATTTAAAATCTTAAATTAAACATTAAATTTATTAAAATTAAACAAAAAATATTTTTTTGTACTATTGTATTTATAAATGTAAATTTATTATGAATAATTAATTTTAATTAATATTTTATTTATTTTTAGTAATTTTAATTAATATTATATTTTTTTCTTTAAAAGAAAAAAAACTATTACCAGAGCACAGCCAACACATTACCCTCAAACGAAACATTTCTTGTCTTACCTTTTGACTTTATACAAACTTAAATAATTTAAAAATTAGTTAAAACTTCATAATTACGTGTTAAATTAACACGCTTGTCCACAATAAAAGTTTTAATATCCTATAAATAAATTAGAATGAAAAGAATATCGCTAAAATAGAGTATTTAATGTCTTTGTATAAATAAAAAATAAAAAAATTAAATTAAAATACCTAAATTTAGTATTCTTTTTGTTCAATTTTAATAGATTAAATTTTTAATTCAATTTTTCTAATTGTGCTTCAGCTGCACATGTGAAGGTGTATTAATTGTATTTTAAGAGCATAAATCAAATAAACCCTTTTTAATTATAGAAATTTAAATTTTATTATCAACTTTTTCTTTAGAATATCATTTAATAAGCTTATTTCTATTTACTCTTATTTTAAAAGGATAATTATAACATATGCTCCATCTGTTTAACTTTAGTATACCTAACTTTTAATTTGAAACATTCAAAACTTCAAATTTAGGTTGTCCATTTTTCTTTCTTAGGATATTATTTAATACATTTGTTTAGGGTCAATTTTGACAAACAAAAGAATGAATCTACATCATTGTCCACATTAGATTGTTAACCCAAATTCAAAGTTAGACACAAGGGCAATCAACAATCTCTTATTGTCACTTTGCTGAAAGTAGCAAGCTTGAGAGGGGAAAACTTATTGACAAAAGAAACAGAAAAGGTTCCCATCATTTGGGCAAAGGGCCAAGTGTTGACTCAATGTACTTCAAGAGGGGGTTGAATTGGAGTTCCAAAAATTCTTTTCTTTTTCAACCACAAAACCCAAGTTAAAGAGAGTAGAGAAGAAGAGCTTGCACAATGAATTTATAGAGGTTCGGTCCAACCACTTGGAGCCTAGTCCTCTACCTCAGCTTCACTCACCAAGGATTTCCTCCACACTCTTCATTAAGAAAGACAAGGGTGGCTTAAAGGAGCCACTCAATCCTTTTACAACAAGATGAGTATTTCTCTCAAACCTCACCCCTTTACAATGTAAACCCCACAAATCCTCTCAATAGATCACTCTTGAAGGAATCAACACACCCCCAAGATTACTCACTAATAGCACAAGAAGAGGATTACAAGCAATGATCACTCAAAGATAAAAAACTCAAGTTAAAGCTTAAGTAGGTAGGTAAAGATATTCAATGCAATGTTCTCTAACCTTCTTCAGATCTGTTACCAACCATATTTATAGCCCCTTGCTCGAAAATAGCCATTTGTAACTGTTGGGGGTCATTAAATGCCCTGCAAGACGCAAAGCTCGAGTTGCAAGATTGTCAGAAGAGCCGGCTCTATACAGCCGGCTCACCATTTCTGCGACTGGCTCTGCGGGTTTCTTGCACATTATGTTTTCCTCGAGAGTCGGCTGCAAGACTTTGAGCCGGCTTTGGAACCCCGACTTTAAATACATTAAATATTCTTCAAAAGAGTTGACCGTTGTGCATTAAATGCGCCCTCATAGCCGGCTATAAAGTTGGAGCTGGCTCTGCTTCCATTTTCTACGCGCGCCAACACAGCAGTTGAATCTTGCCCGTAGAGCCGGCTCAACAAAATCTGCAGCCGGCTCTCTGCACTTTTGCTTCTGAGAGCCAGCCGCAATTTTCTTAAGCCAGCTCTCTGCACATTTTTGCCTTTTGAGCCTTTTTTAATTCAATCTCATTTTGCTTACTTTGCAGTGTATTGGCAATTTAACTACACACTTAAATAAATCAATTAATCAGTCAAATGTGTTTTGTAATCATCAAAATCATAGGTACAACACCAAGGTCTCCAACATTATAGACAATAGACCTAGGTTCCCATCATTGTGGGCAAGAGACCAATCTAATAATGGCATTGTCTTCTTCATGCAATCTTAAATATGTTAAAAGATGGGCCATCCTTTAGTGATTGCCTTCTGCATGGTAGTATGGTGCCCAACAGGCAAAACAACCAAGACTACTTTCTGACGAAGTGATATCAATATTAGGCTTCCACCATTTGTGGACAACGAGCCATACCATTGGTAGAACTCTTGTTAACCATAGACAAAGAGTTCTTACCATAACAGCTTCCCATCATTGATATGGACAATGGGTTATATCTCATTCTTAGGCATAACTCCTATTAATCATGAACAAAAGGTTATTATTGTAATAGCTCTTGTCATTGATATAGACAATGGGCTTATATCTCATTCTTCGGTAGAACTCCCATTGATCACAAACAAAGGGTTCTCGTCATCATAGCTCTCTACCATTAATATTGACAATGGGCTTATGTTTCATTTTTGGCAAGATTCCATGCAATCTTGGCCAAAAGGTCCATGCCATGATAGCTCTCCATCATTGAGGTAAACAACAGACTTAGCTTGAAGGCATTGACTCCTTCACCAAAGTAGAAACCTAATAAAGGGGTAAACTATTTATTGGCAACCATCAACGTTGGCAAAGTGAGATTTCACATTCAATAAAGGTTGTCACTTTTCACGACTAATAAAAGTTCAACAAAAGTTATCACTATTCACAATTGACAAAAGTTTGCCAAAAGCCATCATTGTTCACTATGACAAAAGTTTGTCAAAGGTCATCACTAGTCATGACTGTCAAAAGTTTGATAGTAGTTGTTGTTGCTCACAATTGACAAAAGCATGCTAAATCACCTTTGTTGGCATTTGTTAAAATACTACCCAAATTGCTTGCTAAAACCTGCTCACCAAACCTCACTTGCCAAACTTCACTTGCCAATCCTCACCTACCAACACCCACAAAGCAGATGGTGCAATGACGTTGCCTAACCATGTGAGAGGCAAAGTTTGTTAATTTGTAGTAAGAGTTGTTGACTACAATTGTAACACTTGGCAATAAACCTCTAATAGAGTTTGCTTGTCATTCATAATTTGTCCAAGATATTACTCTTGTAATGCATTTGTATCTAATAAAAAAATATGTGATTGTGTAGGTTGTCAAACCCATGGAACCAAGCCTATGAGAACAACATGAAAGACTATTGGAGTAGTGGTGTGGAAGGTATGGAGTGATCGCTCTTACCTCATTCCTTCACCATCAAAGTGAGATGTCAATATGGTAAAGCTTGGTGCTACCCTTGTTAATAAATAGAGGGGAAAGGTTGCCCAAAAGGTGCAAAATGCTTTTCAAAGGGGTAAAAACCCATTCGTTCTTATTCTTCTTGTTAAACCCAAACCTAGGATAAAACAAAGGGATGTCCCATTGTCTAAGGCAGTTTGAATTGTCTAAAACCACTATGCAAAACACTAAATTCATAGCCTCCATTATGAATTTTGCCAAAAGTGCTTTTGTCTAGTAGCCAAATGAGGCAAAAATATCTTTAGATTTTGGCCAAGACACCACATTGTCCAATAGGTACAATGGGGGGGGGGGGTAAGCTAGGGTTGTCAGATAATGGACAAGTGTCCTTGTCTAACCTAAGATACCCAACCAATGGCCTCAGATCATCTTATTTCATAAAATTACAAAATTGCCCTGGGCACTATAAATACCATCTTCCATTTTTTAAGAGGCCTTTAGATGATTTTCTAGCCTTTTTGCAATCTTGAAGTTCTCTCTTTACTTTCAATAATTTCTCTCTCTACTTTCAATAATTTCTCTCTCAAAATTTTGAGCCACAAATACTCATCAAATCCATAAATCATTCCATCAAAGTTGTAGATCTCATCAAGGGCTACAAGATGATGGTCTCCAATCTATGATTCTCTCTTTTTCTTCTAAGAGTTATTGGCACAAGTTCAACTGTTGTTGCCAAAGGACAAGTCATCTTCATCTTTATCTTCATAAAATAACCTCCCATCGTAATTAACTTTCAGACAAAGACAACTTTTATATACACCATAAAAAGTAAGCTCTTCAAATCTATCATTCCTTCACCCACCCATCTCTTTGTAATTCTTTCTCTTTTGCTATTGTATATGTAGGATTTGACAAAAGAAATGAAATAAAAATGTATTGGAATTTATAAAATTGTTGACTCAATGTACTCCAAGAGGGAGGGTGAATTAAAGTTCCAAAAATTCTCCCATTTTTGCAACCACAACACCCAAATTAAAGAGAGTAGAGAAGAAGAGCTTGCTCAATGATTTATAGAGGTTCGATCCAACCACTTGGAGCCTAGTCCTCTATCTTGGCTTCACTCACCAAGGATTTCCTCCACACTCTCCATTAACAACAACAAGGGTGGCTTAAAGGAGCCACTCAATCCTTTTACAAGAATAAGGGTGTTTCTCTCAAATCTCACCCCTTTACAAGATAAACCCCAAAGATCCTCTCTACAGATCACTCTTGAAGGAATCAACACACCCCCAAGATCATTCACTAATAGCACAAAAAGAGGATTACGAATAAAGATCTCTCAAAGATCAAAATCTCAAGTTAAAGCACAAGTTGGTAGGTAAAGATATTCAATACAATGCTCTCTAAACCTCTTCAGATCTGTTACCAACCATATTTATAGCCCCTTGCTCGAAAATAGCCGTTTCTAACTGTTGGGGGTCATTAAATGCCCTGCAGGACACAAAACTCGAGTTGCAGGATTGTTAAGAGAGCCGGCTTCACTTCCTAGAGCTGGCTCTATACAGCCAGCTTTACAGGATTCCTGCATATTATGTTTTTCTCGAGAGCCGGTTGCAAAAATTTGAGCCGGCTTTGGAACTCCGACTTTAAATACATTAAATACTCTTCAAAAGAGTTGACCGTTGTGCATTAAATGCACCTTCATAGCCGGCTGCAAAGTTGGAGCCAGCTTTGAGTCTTTTCTCCGCACGCGCCAAACAACGGTCTTCAAATTTTTTCCCATAGAGCCGGCTGCAGCTTCCAAAGCCGGCTCTCTGCACTTCCATTTCACCAGAGCCAGCTGCAACTTTTAAGAGCCGGCTCTCTGCACATTTTGAATCCTTTTGGTCTATTTTTAGTGCAATCCAAGTTTACTTGCAATCTTTTAACAACTTAACTACACACTTAAATAAACCATTTAGTCACTCAAATGTGTTTTGTAATCATCAAAATCAAAGGTACAACAAAAATGAGATGAGCATGCATTTTTTCTTGCCTCTATTGTATGTGTTTTTGAAAACTACTATATATTGTCCAAAACGTGTTTACTATTATTCTATCAAAGTCCTATAATTTTTCAATTTTTGGGTGACGAAATCGTGGACAAGGCTCCTTCTTTGTCAGGTTCTAGTGAAATGACCTTGTCCGTCCATTAGCCTTAGGCATTGCTAAAAGCTTGAGGGGAAGGTTTTGACAAGTAGGGCCTCATTTCTTTGAGTTGCACCAACCGATGAACTTGATTCTTCAATAATAATTTTCTTGTGTTCTCCATTAGAGTTGGCCATCACTCATTGATAGCCTTTAATAGAAACATGCCCTAACAACTTTTATTCATATTTTATTCTTATGTTAAAAAGATAATTGAAATATATATTAAGGACTTATTTGATAGAGTTAAAATTTAGTAGATAGTGGATAACAATAGCAAGTAACAATAATGGGTAACGGTAGTGGCTAGTATGTGGTGGTCAATAAATAGCAAGTGATGGTTAGCAGATAGTAGGTGACAAGTAGTGAATAGCAAGTGGTGGATAAAGGAAAGCAGTTAGCAAATAGTAAATAACAAATTTCAATGGCTAAATTTAATAAATAGTTTATTAACTTTGTAATTTATTTTAGTTTAGTCTAAAAACAATTTTTTCTTTTAGAATGATCTATAAACTATTAATTTTGTTTCAAAATGGTCGACTTGACAAACATTCCATTACCTAGACTAACGAAGTTCTTTTTCGCTATTGACATGTGCCCTGAAAAATGTTAAATATAGTACATATATTTTTATTTTTAACAACATTTTATTTTTGAAGTTTAAATTCTATATCAAATGTAATAATTAATTAAGATAATAATTTTAATTTACATTTATCAAGATTCTAATTTTAATTTACAATAATCAATATTATAATTTAAATTTTATTATTTCTTAAAAAGCCTAATACCATTATTAAATTACATATTTTTTCACTAATTTGTATAGAAAAATAAAAAAATTTATTTTTATTTTTAACACTAATAATACATGCATGATTTTAATTTGGGGATTTATAAAATTGAAATGAATTTTTATTTTTTCAAGGAACTTTAATTATGTGTGAGTGCTCATTTAATTAAATTAAATTTTGGAAAGGTTTATTTATTAAAAATATTAATATTTAATAATAAATTAATTTTTTTAGAAATAATAAAATTTAAATTATAATATTGATTATTGTAAATTAAAATTAGAATCCTAATTAATGTAAATTGAAATTTCATCTTTGTTAATTATTACATTGGATATAGAATTTAAACTTTAAAAACAAAATGTTACGAAAAAACAGAAATATATGTACTACATTGAACATTTTTTAAAAGTTGAGAGGGCACACATCAATAGCTGGAAAGAATTCCATTAGTTTAGTTAATGGAATGTTTGTCAAGTAGACAATTTTGAAACAAAATTGATAGTTTATAGATTACTTTGAAAGAAAATTTGTTTCTAAACTAAACTGAAATAAATCACATAATTAATAGATTATTTATTGAATTTAGCCAATTTTAATTGATATAACTATTTGATTATGTAATAATTAACAATTATTATTTAATATTAAATGACTAATAAGGACATATTTAAAAATAATTAACTATATTTTTTAAATATTTTTTTATTAAAATGATTAATTTTATAAAAATAATAATAAGAAAATAAGTAAATAAAATAAATTATAATAGACAAACAAATGCATTTCTATTTTTAATAAAGAAAAAAATTATATTATTTTTAAATAAAGAAAAAAATAATTTTTATTTATTTTGTCTAATTAACAAATTTTGTTTATTAGGTTAAATGCTAATTTTGGTCCCTCAACTTTTTTTTTTGCACTTTTTTGGTCCCTTAACTATGAAAAATGCACTTTTTTTAGTTTATCCATCAGTAATTTGTTAAGTCTATATGGATCTACATATTTTTAGTTTCTCAACTTAAAGTTGAGGAATGAAAAATGTGCATATATTAAAAGTTGAGGGACGACATAATATGTAAATCCAGATAGACTTAACAAATTAATTGATGGAAGGACTAAAAAAATGTATTTTTCATAGTTAAGAAACAAAAAAAGTGCTAAAAAAAGTTGAGGGATGAAACTTGTGCAAAACCTTAAAGTTGAGGGACCAAAATTGACATTTAACATGTTTATTAAGCAAATATATTTTTCTATGATAAATTAATATTAAAAAAATTAATAATCACTTAATATTATTAGAAAACAAAATTGAAACTAATTAAATAAGTATTAATTAAAAACTATGGCAAAAAATTAAAAAATTTTAAAAAATAAATTTGTTAATAAAATTAAAAATTTTCAAACTACTAATGATTTTACTACAAAAGTTACATAAATTAGTTTTTACAATCTGTTAACATTTTGGCCTTTATCCACTATCCATCAGTCACAAATTGCTAAATAAAAGTTTACTAGACATTTATTTTTAATGGTTTGAGCAAAACTATTAATTGATATACTAAACATGCTATAAATAAGGAAAATTTGTAAAGGCACAAAAAAATTAAGTGTCCCAAAATTGTAGAAAGGGAGTAATTAATTAAATAGGTAAAACTCCTTCTCTTCCCCTTTATATTTTTTGATAACCAAATAAATAAATTATCTCCCCTCCCTTTCAAACCAAACATCCCATAAAAGATACACGTGAAATTCTTCTTCTGTTCCTCACCCTTTAGAACATGGGGAATGGTGTTGTTGTGGACATTCCGTTGGGATTGGGATGGGGAAAACTTAGCAAGCCTGGGTTCATCATCGGCTGAACTCATTCGGTTTTTTTCAAAATTGTGGCTTGGGGCAAGGGCTAGTTACGTCATTTTATCGGCCACTTTGGACCTCTTTATGTCATCAAAACATTACTTGGGGGAAGGCAGCAAATTGATGGTGGGGGCGGAGAGGACTACTGGGGGAGGCAATTCTGGAATGTTCCTTCATAGCATTGTGCCACGTTGAAGATAATGGATATATTATATAAATGGGGCATCTAAAACACGGAAATATTATATAAATGGAACATAGAATAGGTTGGGTAGTTATAAACTGGGAATGCAAATATGTTTCATGTGAGCATTAACCAGCTTATTGTCTGCACAATTAAAAAAACAAGACAATCAAGTGAAACTGGCAAAACAGAAGAAAGTGAACATCTTTCATTACCTATTTTCAAAAAATAAAAAAGAAGAAAGTGGACATCAATTATTACGTACTTAGACTACCCTAGCGCGATGGTGATTGAAAGGTACACTG